TTGGAACTGATTATATTTTTAACTATGGGCTGATTATGCCTTATGATGCTGATTTGACATTCAATATTGAGTAACCTCTGTTTTGTAAGTGGCATGTGACAAATACACGGATTATTAAGTTACATAGCCTGAATGCAACATTGGATGCTATATCAACTTAGGATCATTTTTATTTGTCAGCTAACTCGTGCCATACTCTGATTATAAGAAAAACTTTTCTTAAATTTAAAATAATGGACCTGATTATGATAGTTAAATCTCTCTCTGCATCATCACATCTTGACCTTAAAACTCATGTGGCATCTGTTCTCTATTCATCTGCACTTTTGTATTGTATTCTCCCTCTAATTGCAAACGACCTATCTGATTTATTGTTTTGTATATATTTTGATTCTGCTGTTATCTTTTGATTGTCATGTTCCGTAATCCCTGCATCATGATGAATCAGAGTTTGAATTATGCGTTTTAAGTTGTTTATACCTAATAGCTAGATGACTGATTGGCAATATATAATCTGTATAGTTAGGGAGAGTTTAAGAGCAACAAAGAAGGAATATGCTAAAACGGAAGATGATTTGAAGTCACTGCAGAGTGTTGGACAGATCATAGGAGAAGTTCTCAGGCCCCTGGACAATGAACGATGTAAGAATTCTGCAATCCTTTTGCCTGCATTCATTGCCGTCGAACACTTTGAGCATATTAAGAGCCCATTACACGATAAGTATGAAAGAAGTTGCTTTTATTTATTTATTTTATTTATTGTCCTGGAGGCTCTCCGTCCGGGGAGGGGCTTGCTAAATCTACGCGTGGGTCGATATTTGGTCCATGTTTGAGCGCATGCATTAAAGCCAGAAGGGCGGTCTAGTGAGAGCAAATGATCAAGCATGATTATTAATACGATTCTATGTCATTCATTCTCGGTGCAACGCCCGTCTTCCAAATCAAAAGAAAAAGGGCTAGCCACTAGAGATTCCTTGGCTCTGGGAATACAGTCAATTTCCTGTAGGAAATCCAATCATTAGAACACCACCTTAGGGCACAATGCTCTTTATCTAGAAGTTTAAGCTATTAGATATGGGACTAGTTCATTTATATAAATTTTACTGCCCCATTACATACAAGATCAATTCAATTCAAAATTTTATTTTTATTTTTATTTTTATTTTTTTAAATCAAAGGCTGCACCGGTGCACAATTTTGAAAAATGGATAACAGTCTGACTTGAACTCCGCATCTTTGCCAGCTTTGCTACCCGTTGAACCACCCATCTAAAAGAAACAGTTATTTTCATCAGACTTGTTAGTCTACTAGTTGATTGTTCAACAACCTTTTGCCCTTGTAATCCTTCTTAACTCTTACCTTCATAAAACCGTGGAGATAGAAATTTATTGATCCTTTAATTCATTACAAAGTCATGGGTTTAATTGTCTTGTGGCCTATTTATCAACTCAACGCCTGTTTCATTATATAGATTGGTAACTGACTAATTAACACCATCTGTTGTTTCAGTGATTGTCAAGGCCAGCAGTGGCCCAAGATATGTGGTTGGTTGCCGCAGTAAAGTGGACAAAGAGAAACTTACAGCTGGCACTAGAGTAGTTCTTGATATGACAACTCTTACCATTATGCGAGCGCTTCCTCGTGAGGTATGCTACAGTTTGATCTACCAAATACTGATTCTGGGTTCTGTTGAGTATAATCTTGTAAAGATGATTCAAAATGACTTCTTCTGACTTCTAAAGTATTTTGTTTATGCTGCAGGTTGATCCAGTTGTATATAATATGCTTCATGAAGATCCTGGGAATGTAAGCTATTCTGCTGTCGGTGGACTGTCAGACCAGATTCGAGAGCTAAGAGAATCTATAGAACTGCCTTTGATGAATCCTGAACTCTTCCTCAGGGTTGGCATTAAACCTCCCAAGGTAATTAGTACCTTTCTTGTAGCATGTTCATTATAATTGTTTTATACGGTTTGTATTGTAATTGTTGCTATGTTTATTTGTTTTAGGGCGTTCTTCTCTATGGACCTCCAGGAACTGGCAAGACTCTATTAGCAAGAGCAATTGCTAGCAATATAGATGCCAATTTCTTAAAGGTAAGAAGATAACATTACCTCTGTGCTATTCATCTGCAACCGTTCATTACCTCTTGAGGTCTTTCATCCACTTGAGCAAACTGACTGACAAGTTGTAGCTATGCAGGTCGTATCGAGTGCTATTATTGATAAGTATATAGGGGAGAGTGCAAGATTGATCAGGGAGATGTTTGGGTATGCCCGTGATCATCAAGTGAGTGATCAATACAATATGATTCTTTTGTATATCTGATATTTTATTATTGGCGTTCACATTGTAGAAAATGCTCAATTGAATTATTTTTGTGTAAAGCCATGTATCATCTTTATGGATGAGATTGATGCCATTGGTGGACGTCGTTTCAGCGAGGGAACAAGTGCTGACCGTGAAATACAAAGGACACTCATGGAGTTGCTTAATCAGCTTGATGGGTTTGACCAGCTTGGAAAGGTTTCGGTTTGATCATTTCCATATATGCCCGTGCTTACAGGAATTGAATCATCATTACTTCAATGATTACAAGGGAACATTGCAGTTTATGTCTGTGAATAGATTAGTTTGACCATATATACTGAATTGTGTGGGCAGGTAAAAATGATTATGGCGACAAACAGACCAGATGTTTTAGACCCTGCACTTCTTCGTCCTGGTCGGTTAGACAGGAAAATAGAAATACCGCTTCCTAATGAACAGTCTAGAATGGAAATTCTGAAGATCCATGCTGCTGGAATTGCCAAACATGGTGAAATTGATTATGAGGCTGTTGTCAAACTTGCGGAGGTGACCTGTGGATGCTTAACATCCCTTTTTTTTGGCATGTCCTTCAACATTAGTATTAATAACATGTTGCTTTTTCCAGGGTTTTAATGGGGCTGACCTTCGTAATATTTGCACTGAAGCTGGTATGTCTGCAATCCGTGCCGAGCGTGATTATGTTATTCATGAAGATTTCATGAAGGTAAAGTCATCTGTAGTTGACCGACTTGTATTGAAGTTTCCAATTTATTTATGGAATTGGTATATGTGCGATGGAGTATGCATACGCATGCCATGCTCTGTTACACACTTTTTTAGTATATGTTTGTGTGTATCATTACCCGAGGTTGGAGACTTAGGGACTAGGGTACATTACATTGAATGTTTCCTTCCATCTAAGAATGGCCGGCTGCTAATTTGGGTGTTCTCAAAATGAATGCCAAATTTATTACATTTTCTTCAAATTACTGTTTGCTGACCTTCAGATAACAAAATTCAATTTATTTCACCCAAAAAAATCTGATGCAGTGTTCTGTCTCTTATTCACACGCACACACTACCTGGTCCGCCTCCACTCACTAGCCCCTGCAATGCTGAATCATCCTGCCACAAGAACCTGGTTACCATTGACTTAATTCAAGATTGTCACCCAATTAGTTGTTACAAACAGAATCATATCCCCGCTTCACAATCACCGGAACTTCCACCATACCAATTCTAATACAGACACAGTGGGTTCTTGGGAGTAGGGGGAAATCTTCAATATTTGGTGGCTCAGAGTGAGTGTAATGTGGACTTTGCTTTGTTACATGATGTGAATTTGGAGTCCCTGGAGTGGGATATCTTTTTCTTAATACTGGTGGGTGTTTTGAGGTTGGGTTTTGTGGTGTTATCAGTTCAATTTCACGTTTATTGGGATCGGTTTCCGTAACCGATAAATGCTTCCAAAGTCTATATTATTATTGTTTGGCCTTTACCATATATTGGTGTTACTTATGACTGAATCAAATTATAATAGAACTTTCAAATCTACATGTATTTAGTTCCATTGTTATTCTCACTAAGCCGTTGTTTGACATCCTTTAATTTAATTTATTTCTCATATTCATTTTCAACCGCACATTCACACAATAAAATATAAGCTCAAAACTTTTTCCTAATTTTTAACTACACGTTCTCTAAAAAATACTATTCAAAACTATGTTTTTAAAATTTTAAGGATGTCAAATGGGCTAAATTGCAGGATTATTATTTTATGGGATGTAAACTTTTCTTGCACGTGAGAACTTTGCAGGCTGTAAGGAAACTGAACGAAGCAAAGAAGCTGGAATCAAGTGCACATTACAATACTGATTTTGGGAAGGATTAGGAAGATTTAATTGGTTCAGTCAGAGTTTGACATGGATAACTGTTGTGATGATCAATTTACATTTCTGGAAATTAATATTGTATGCACCTTTTAGCGGATATTATTCGTCAATTCAAGTTATCGTTCGTATCATGTTTGTTAATTTGTTCAATCTAATTAATTTTTTGTTTGAATATTTGGTATACGAAGCGAGTGTGTTCTCCGCGTCTCTGTTTTTCGGGTTATATAGATTGATCATTTTTCCTCAGGTGTCAAGCTGGAAGTTTTGCCAAACCTCCGGTGCAAATTAGAAGAAATTGCACATTTGCATCTCAGAAGTGGTCTATGTTTATTTGCGTAGATAGGCAACAAGCAACGGGAAAAATTTGATAACTACCAATTGTTTAAGTTGTGATTTCAAAATGACACGAAATTGCAAAAATCAGGTTATTTTAAATCAAAGAGGTTAATTTCAATTTGATTGTGATGCAACATATAGCAAGTGTACGCGCCCTAAATCAGTGAGCTTTTTGGACCAACATTAACATCAACAGTTCCACACATATAATAACAATCTACTATGCGATGAAAAATATTTTGTCGAACCATTTACATATTGGACAGATGCAGTAGAACGTGGATGATGATGGGAAAAAGGGTTTTGAAATTCACACTCTTTATGGCATGATAGGCGATTACTCTCACCACGTCTAGGATTATGATTGATTTTCCACCCTCCCTCACACAAAAATAAAAAGCCATGAATGGGGTTGGGCATAACTTTCCCATAACAAAAACTATTCAATGGAATCGAGAAAAGAATAAAAAGCCAACCAAGTCAAACCATATGCACAAAATCGATACAACTCTAAATTACGCGGTCCATTCAAGGATTTTAACTTGGCTGTAGCGTTGCTTCTGCTCAAATTCAATAATAACCGTAACAGCAATTGTGACAATTGAGTTATAAATATACATACATTCATTTATTGAATGCATAATAAATTGCAGTGTTTAGCTCGACTTCGACTCACCATTGTTTGGAAGGGGCTTAGTCCTTATTGCGGTCATTATCTTAAAACTAACCGGCAGTGAGTCGATAAGATTAAACCTTAACCTGAACCTGACTGAAGATCTTGCTGTCCCTAGGGACAAATTCCGTGCTGAAATCAGTACCACTGTAAATTGTCTAAAGCATCTTGATAGACCCTTTTGTCCCCTGCTGCCACTACATTAAAACCTGGAAATATAACAATTTATAGTCATGGTTATGCTATGGCAATTTGGCTAAACTATAACCTTAATGATTGAAGCTGACATGGATAATGAGAAGCAGCTTAAGCAAGAAAATCATACTTGCCACATCGGAATTTGATGAAGCTTCCCAATGAAGTTGATGTCCTCTCCAATCGGTTATGACTCCACCCGAGCCTTCAATCACGGGTATCAGGGAAAGGAAATCGTATGGCTGAAAATTAAGTAGTTGCAGATTCATTAATAAAAAGATACCTTGAAACTTGTGAGTACCAACAGCTTTTAAAAATTTATCACATGCCGAGGAGAAAAAGTAACTGGATACACATGGCTAAATCCCAATAAGATAAAACTGTGAAAGGAAAAACTGAATATCTTAGAACATGTAAACAAATAAAAACAGTAGAGCTCACCTTGAGACCCGACTCAATCACAAGATCCACATAGCCCGATGCCAATAGAGCATAGGCATAACAATCACAGCCGTATAGAGGCACTTTGACCTATCAAACAGAAATGGACCTCTTAAAGTACTTAATTACAACATAATCTAAACACAACTAAGCTTTTGATCCGCATAGACGGAAATAAAATTAACAAAAGGGGACATCGACCAAGGTTTTTTCTCATAGAAATCAAAGGTAAAAAATGAAAACCATACAGTACTAATCACTCATTCTCTATTGGTTTAGTGACTTTTGATAGAGTACTTTGTATTACATACACATGCGAGCGTGTTTGTGTGTGTATCTTATAAGTCATGAATCCATTAACTTTTACAGATTACTGATACAAAAACCAAGATAAGTTGGACGGACATTGCTAAATACGTTTGATGACTGTTAGACATAAAAGGACAGACCTTATTTCTTACTCGAGCAAAGGCCACCTCAGCATCACCAGAAAATAGATGTGGACTAGTAGTGTACCTTTATCACAAGAAAATGAAAAATATGAGAAGGATAGCACTCCACTAAGGAAAGGCAAATTGTTAGTGCACCTAAAACAGTGAGCGGACTAAGATCTTCACATGTATGTGCAGTAAAATAGCTTCACAAGTTCTAAACGTCAAAACCAAGAGAACATGTCCCACGTTTTGCACTATATTAGTTGTAAATATTTAGCTTTACGGCACAACATTTTTTGCAATATAAAAGGGAACAACATACAGATAGGCTTTGGAAAGTTGCGGGCAACTTCGAGTGGATATTTCTTGTCCATTCAAAGTAGTTCTCCTCCCACTTATTCCAATCCATCTCTCTCTCAGAACAGGTTGGTCAATAATGCCAAGAATCTATATTCAAAAATAAAAGACCTTGAATTACATATGAAACAACATATAGCAAAATCAACACAAGAAATGCATGACTGCATGCTGGCAGCTAGACAGGGGACCCAATGAAGGCTTAGTGCAGGCAATGAGCTTTGGCCAGCCCCATTTAAGAATATAAGTCCTTCCGCACAGCCCTTCTTCTCCCCCTCTGCTACAAATATTATACCATTAATAAAAGTATTGTTGCATTTTGACCTTCTTCCCCCACCATAAATGCCAGCCAAAGAAAAATTCCTCTACAATTAGCAAACAATCTCTTTACCATCCACTTCTCTCTTTGTTCCCCTTGGATTCTTCTCTTAAATATATTTGTTCTTTGTGCAAGTGCACTTTGTGTGATTACACAAACTTGTTTACCCATTCTTCAATTGATCTTCATATATACTCACACATGTCCTGTCTATCTATGATATAGCATTCTAAATTTTGAGGCATTTCATGCTTTCTTCCTGAATTGACAGGTCAGCTGGGTTTCTCAATATGTGATTTCTTGGCATTTTTTTTCTTGTTTAGATCAGTGTATATAATATATTTTCTATGATCCATATTTGAGTCTTTATAGCTGTGTTGTTTGGCTTGATAATGAACATGAGTTTGTTTGAGTGGTATTAATAATCTCTACAGCATTGGTAGATGCTGACACAAAACTTTGTAATTTTGTTCCAAAGTTATTTTTTGAGCTTTACTGTTATTGCCCGCACTGGAAAAATTTTCTGGGTCCACCAAGACTTATTTTGTTTTTTACGAATCTAATGGTAAAATGTAACCTAATTATGTGTGATCCTTGAATGTACAGCAGTTCACTGGAATTTTTTTTGACATTCTTCAAGATAAAGAAAGAAACACTAAAGACTGAAAGCATTTTTGAATAGCTTATTCAAATGTATTATATTCAAAAGAACAAAGAAGTGGGGTGTTTCTATTCAAAAAAATCAAAATCAACTATGAATAAGCATATACAATAGATCAGCAGATTCATCAATACTTCAAACACCATAATGAACACTATAATTTAAGAACGAGGGACCATCAAGCCAAGAAGGAGAAAAGGACTAACAAGTTAAGATTGAGAGGCAGAGTATTATAAGCTTTATTAGTTAGTCCTTTTAAATTATAACAAGTAAAATTTTATATTGAAATGTCTCAGCATCATTTATGAAGGCCTAACTCAATGGAACCAGCACAAAATTACTATATGCGCTACTTCCACTATTTCAATGGGGGTCCTTACTGGAAAATATCTTCATCATAGCAGACAAAGGAAATTAAACTCAACACAAGAAGCATCTTCAGTGCAAAGAGAAACAATTTTGTAAACATCCCAGATATAGAAAGTGGCTGAGAGTTCTTACCGGTCTACCCTTGTGTAGTAGAGCAATTAGAGTTCCAAACAGGGGTTTGCCTGTAAAATAGTTGAGAAATATCAGCTGACTAAGCTGAAAGTTCAAAGCTGACCACCATGACATGGAAATTTATAGTCAGATACCAGTAATAAAACTTTTCGTCCCATCAATAGGATCCAAAACCCACACGTAGTCTGTAAAATTTTCCTTACACCTCCATCCACTCTCTTCTCCAAAACTGAAATTTGAAAGCAAAAATTCTGTAAAGAAATTATGAATCAAGCATCTTTGGCTACTTTACTGGAGAAATCTATATGCTGTGAACTTCTAATTCACTAATCAAAATAGTGATGCTCAAAAGACAGTTAATTTACAGCCAACCAGCCAAACAAATTGGTATGGCATAATTCGGGTTGATGTTTTCTGGTTTGTGCAACACAAATATTCGCAAGTCAAATTTGGTTCATAAAAGAAAACATGAAGACGTGCAAAGCGTGAAAGAAAACAGAATTTTTTTTGGAAAAAGTCCTTCCTGTTCAACTCATTCTAGCATTGTCTTTGCGGCCAAATGAGCTGTACAAAAATAATTAAAGTTCAATCCCTGAACTACACCAATTACAGTAAACACGTTTCTTCCCAGTTTCTTAACTTCTATTAATCTCCTAACAGCATAAGGGGTATTGAAAAGAAATAAATATCCAGTGCCCCCACTCAACAGCAAAGGAACTTACATTGCATGAGAAGGAAAATTCTCCTCTAGAATCTTCACCATAGACTCCTCGGCCGCTTGATCAGCAATTGTCACCGGACCTAATATCAATATCATTAATAACACCACATTAAATGACCCAACAAAATGCAAATTCCATTGTAATCTATGAAATTTTATAATAAATAAAAAAACTGACTCAAATCTTCTTTGTCAAGAATGTCGAAGGATTTCCGGAAGTACTTGCGGATAACTTCACCGGCAGCGTCGGCAAGCTTGTTGCCGACGTCAACAAAGCGGTCGAGGTCTAAATGGTTAAACCCTAGGTCCATAGTCTGAATGTCAACGTTACTGTTACTGTTACCGTTACAGGAGACAGTAGAATTGGTAGAACTCATTTTGAAATCAATTGCTCCAAATTTTAGAGTCGAATGAGATATTCGAAAAGGAAGAGACAGAGAGCAAGAATAGATGGCGGGGTTAGGGTGGCGCGGATGGTGATTTAGAGAGTGAAAGCGAGAAGAAGAGTGAGAGAGCATCTGTAAAGGTTGTATTTGCAATGAGGAGTTTATATAGGCGCGAGTGTCTGTATGTGCATGTGACGGCGGCAGCGGGGGCGGTGGTGGTGCGGGATGGAGAGTGGAGACTGACGTGTATTGCAATTTGCACAGTTGGATGGCGATGGTGCTTTTTTGGGAGGTTTATTATTAAAAATAAATGGGTAATTGGCACAAAACGTCCTTACCTTTCAAGTTTATTATGGAAAACGTCCCTACCTTTCATTTTTTGGTATTTTTGCCCTCATTTCAACCTTTCTTTGCGCTGGACGTCCTACTGTCCATATTCCGTCAGTTTTTCCGTTAAACATTCGGGTAATTGGCACAAAACGTCCCTACCTTTCAAGTCTATTGTGGAAAACGTCCCTGCCTTTCATTTTTTGGCATTTTTGCCCCCATTTCAACCTTTACTTGCGCTGGACGTCCTTCCGTCCATATTCCGTCAGTTTTTCCGTTAATTAAATACAAAAATACCTTTTTCTTTCCATAAACAAGGGTAAAATTGTCCTCACCCACTTCACCCCTTTTTCCCGCCATCAACTTAGTCCATAAGTAACAGTAACAACAACATGAATCTGAAAATACTTTAAATGATTAAGTTAAATAAAGAAAAAATATCGTGAACACATTATATTTCACAATTCCACAACTACTGTTGCTGTCATCTTGTGTCACTGGAAAATTTTAGAAAGACATATTAAATGGGTAGTCAATTTATAATGAAGTGAAGTGGGTGAGGACAATTTTACCCTTGTTTATGGAAAGAAAAATGTATTTTTATATTTAATTAACGGAAAAACTGACGGAATATGGACGGAAGGACGTTCAGCGCAAAGAAAGGTTGAAATGAGGGCAAAAATGCCAAAAAATAAAAGGTAGGGACGTTTTCCACAATAGACTTGAAAGTTAGGGATGTTTTGTGCAAATTACCCGAATGTTTAACGGAAAAACTGACGGAATATGGACGGAAGGACGTCCAGCGCAAAGAAAGGTTGAAATGAGGGCAAAAATGCCAAAAAATGAAAGGTAGGGACGTTTTCCACAATAGACTTGAAAGGTAAGGACGTTTTGTGCCAATTATCCAAAAATAAATACCCAAGGTTTTTAATTTTTTTAATTTTTTTTTTATTTTTGGGGGAAAATTTCGTTAGAGAGTGTTTGACACTCATTTTTATGGAAAAATGAATTTTAAAATATAGATTGATGGATAATATGTGGATGAAAAATAAGAAGCTGATTTCCAACCTGTGACTAAGAAAACTAGATGAATCAAGGTTCGAGGACTGATCGGACGATGAAGTCAGCCCAGCCTTTCGGGTTTAAGGATATTGGAGGAAAGTACTTACTAATTTATGTCTGGTCTCAGGAGAAGCCAACTGGTCAAAATCTTTTAATTTATGTATAATATTATTTTAATCAAGAATGTATGGTTGAAAAGAAGAGAGAGAAAAATACATTTTAAGAAAAAATGGGAATCAAACGGGCCTTATTATTATTATTATTTTTTTTTATTTTTTAGAAAAATTGGAATTTTCAATTTTCTTGGTAAGAATTATTTAAATATAGGTAAGTATATATGTAAATAATAATGGCCGTGTCTAAAAAGAAAGAAAAAAAAAAAAGATACAAATATGCACCAATTTTTCTCCTTCCAATATACAACTTTAATAATTCATGTTTCTACATTTGACAAGATTCTAATCAGCATATTCCACTAGCACCAAAATAATACATAAAAATACAATGGACTGTGACTACGATATTATTCTAATATTGATTGTTTTTGTTCTGGATTTTGATTATGATATTATTGAAATGTCTATTGTACTCGAATATGACATTAACTAAAAATGTTGACATTTACTTGTGTGACCTTAAAAAGTATACTTGTGGGGAAAATTTGCACTCTCCTAAGGTAGTGAAGATGGAGGGCGTGGGGAAAGTCTCTTTGTTGATATGGTAGTGTAACGTCTTAATTTGATAACGTTTATGATACATATTTTTTAAAGATCCAAATAGGGAGATTACGAATAACAATATATATATATATATATATATATATATATATTTTTTTTTTAATTTTTTTTTTTGGGATGGTGACATGAATTCTAGAGTATTTTCTCATCCCATGAAAGAAAAAAAATATAATCGATCATCATTTGGAGAAGAAGGTGGATTCATTTGTCATTAAGATTGGTGGTTATCACCTGTGACCATACACATCATTATTATTTAGTCCTTGTTTGGACTTCATTTTAATGTGTTTTTGGAAAAAATATATTTTGGAATAGTGATTTTTTCTTAATAGTATATGGTTAAAAAAGAATGAAAAATTATGAATTTACGTGTAATGTTATTTTATTGAAAAATGTGATTAAAAAGATGAAAAAAAAAAGTTTTAGATACAATGGAGGCCAAGTAAGGGATTAAAAAGTTTTGCGACACACAAGGTGAGTGACAGGATTTAAAATTATGGAGACACATGTCAACATTTAATTGAACAATTTAGGGAAAAAAAAGGAGCCATAGTCAAAAACCCCTGTTCAAGCAGTATAAGGGACTGTTCAGTAGTAAATATGAGAATTGATTTTTTAACTGTTAGATAAAAAAGTGGGCCCACATGTGAGTGAAGTAGTAAAAAACGACATTGATTTAGAAAAGTAACGACCAAAAAATTAATTTTTTTGTATGAAAAATCAGAACTAAACAGGCTAAGTGTTAAACTGTTATAATCAGCTCAGGTTTATCAATTGAAAAGGTGTAAAGCATCTATTAAGGGGGTGTTTGGGAGATAGTTTTATGTAAAAATACATTTTTGAATAGTAAATTGATGGAAAATGTGTGGTTGAAAAATAAGGAAAAGTTTTTTATTTACATATAATATTATTTCAATAAAGAATGTGTGGTTGAAAAGAAGCGAGGAAAATGCATTTTGAAAAAAAAAAAGGTACCAAACGGGGTCTAAATAGTCTATTATGATGTGAATTGACCAATCAGTTCCAGTTGACCTCACCAATTCGCGATGTTCAATCGGTATTCAATTTGTTTTAGTCCTTGTTTGGTCAATATTAAAATTAAATTTTCAGTAGATTTTGATAAAAGTTGATAAAATATAGGAGTTGTTTGAGTCCCAATTTTTTTTTTTTTCAAAAAATGCATTTTGAAATAATATTATAATGGAGAATATGTGATTAAAAAATGAGGAAAAATTTTAGATTTGAACATAATATTAATTTATTAAAAAAGTGTGATTGGAATGATGTCAAATCACTGTTGAAAAATGCATTTTGATAAAAAAAAAAAATGAGGCTCAAACAAGGACATATTGTTAAAAAAATTGTGAATACCATAAAATATATGATTAAAATTAATTGTTAACTTTGATTTAGATTAAAATTTGAATTTGAATTTCTACCATATATGGGCTTAATGTGTTCCAACGTTTTGTCTATACATAATGGAATCAGTGATATGTTGAATTAACGAGATGTTTAATTGATTTTATTTTTAATAAAAAATGTCATTTTATTCATCCAAATTTTTATTTTTGAGGCATTTGATTGACTTTTTTCATGAAAAATATTTTTCAAAAATTGATCACATAATCATTTTTTCTCGAAAACTAAGAAAACATTTTCTTTAAAGAAAGATAGATAGATTTTTATTTTTCAGGTAATCCACACACACCATTTCTCTCATCTACCAATCAATAAAAGATGAACAAGTATAATATTTTTTAGAGTGAAAATTAAACCAATCAAACATGTTTAATTAATATTTTTATGCAAATTTTTTTTCATGTTTACAATCAAACACATCCCAAATGTTAAAGATAATTTTAAAAAGAGAGGTGAAAAAAGTAATTATCTTGTTTGGTTCAATCCAAATAAGCTGGTAGTGTCTTGCACAACATTATCGTAATTTGCAAAATACAAATTAATGATAAAATTGCTTAAAGAGTTACTATTGTTAGTATTGAATATTTTTAAAGCATTATCATTTATGGCCCTAATGTCAATGAAATTAAATCATTTTATTGTAAAAACTCTATAAAATAAATTTGTCGGGATCATAAATATTATCACTTTAGAGGTGCTATTAATTTAACGATGAATAAATAATTTTATTTATTTATTTAATGAATATTTAAAAATGTGATGAATGTCGTGCACTTCATGTATTATCCTGCGGAAATGATACAGTGATGGAATAGCCTACTAAAGCAAAGACTGCTCAAGAATTATTGAAATCGCCTACCAAGGATAACCATGATTTAAATAATATAAGAATCTTATAATTGTTTCCGTATCTTACAATTGTTTCTGCAAAATAAACCTTTCGAGCATCGTATCCTGTGGTAATTACTTTCTATATAACGTTAAAGAAATATATATAAGGCATGGTATATGCATTGCAAAAAATTAGGGATGGTGTTGAGTTCGATTTGAATAAGCAAAAAAGCTAACAACTTTAATGCATATTTTTCAAAGAAAATAGAACTGAAAAAAATATAAATTATCAAGTAAAAGTTCATTCATATATATTATAATTTTTTATATATTAAACTAATTTTTATCATTTTATATTTATTACACCAATCCGAGTCAAGATCAAAAAATTTTCTTATTTAAACTAAATTATTAATTTATCGAACATTTATTTATCAATGTTTTACTTTATCTAATTACATAAGTGAATATATTATCATTTAAATGGCTTTAAATTCGTAGGAGGTGAATCATATTCTATAGTAATTTAATATTTCAAATGGAGTATTTCAACATAGTATCCTTAATGTTTTAATTTAAATATCGTTGTCATCCAATATAAAAATTGGGCAAAAAAGGTTAATGGACAAAGCATTTCCAATGTCGTTGGAGTTGCATCATATATCAACTTCTAAGTTCTAATCACTTGACTTTATGTTTTGTCGATTTGCACTTTGCCCAACTTCTATTGTACAATACCAATTACCACATAAAGGGAATAGGTTGGGTTGCTTTCCATTTGCCAATGGTACTCAAAGCAAGTGGGATTACCTTAATTTATGTCATTTTCCTCTTTATCTTTTCTTTTGATTTAATTCAGATGGCCATGCGCGATGACTTTATAATTTAGTCTTGACACTTCAAAATTAATAATTAATTTTAACTACATATTACAGTGATCCACAAATTTTTTAATTACATATTTGATCTACTTTTAATGAAATCTATTAGAAAAACTAATTTTTATTCTCGCGAAATAGAGCCTTGATGTTTTTTTTTTTGAAATTACTATTTAACACTTGCAAAAAAATAGTTATTAATGCATTTTGGAATAGTCACTCTTTTGAGAAGGAATTTTGAAATAGTAAATTGATGGAGAATGTTGACATCCCTGTACATCAAGCACAACCCTTAATTATTAGCTTAACTCCGATCGATCACCTATGTGGGTGGCTGGCCCGCTACCATCATTAGAACTGCTACTTGCGAGTATATGTCCATGGCTCACCAACCTTGATGAAGTATACTCTCCTCAACGTCATGATCAAGGCATCGCCATGATCGATTGCACCGAGTTAGAAAAACATAATGATTGACATAGAGAATGACTAAACATACACACCTCAGGGGTCAGACATTATTTAATTCACGTGGGACTTGCACACTAATGGTCGATCACCCCAATGTCAAACATTTTAGGCAAAGTGGTATTTTCCTATGTAATTAGCTTTCTCAAGAATTGCTTTTAAGAATTACATTCGTAGTCCTCCTTTTGAGGTACAAGGATATGTTCTTTGAAACATCCTAAGAATTTCCCTACCCAACCAAGCGTACAGCAAACACAATATCGAATAAAACTTTAAGCATGCCATAGTTTATGAGCATCTTTAAATAGGAGCCCACCACACTACGGAACATTAAGCCAATGTTCGGTGGAAACTAAAATTATTTTTTTATTAAAATTTTGATAAAAAATTTATAAAATATGTGATTGTGAAGTTTTTTCTTTTATTTCCCCACTCAAACGCACCATCAGTGATGCTACGAGGCTACGAGTCGACCTCAGGGGAATCGCTAACCGTAATAAAAAGAGTATGCGATAAAAATTAGTCGTTGATTTTGACTTAAAAATGAAATCTAGATTTTACTCTGGATTTAAAAAGGAAGAAGAAGCACAAATAGCATCCATAATCAACATCTATGTGAAGCGTATGTAAATACAATGTCTAGCTACTTCATAACTTGTGTCTGCAAACAAACATAAATATATTTAATCACAGAAAATCTATATTTTTCTAGTGGTGATGGCCAGGTATTTTCTCCTTGATCTTCTCCATCATGCTCTTCTCGTGCACCGGTGCAGTAGTAGTTGACGTTGCACTGCCCACCGTAGTGGTGGCGCTGTGGGCGGCTTCATCCTTGTCTCCGTGCTTCCCACCTGTCAACGTCTTCTTTATTTTCTGTCTCAATCCGTTCTTCTTCCTCCTCCCACCTTGCCCGTCGTCCTCCGACTACGTTTTACACAAGAACATAATCAAAAACTAACAATAAACTTCAAATGCATTAATCCCTTTACGTAGAATCCTGAGAATTGGAATCTCCCCTTCTTATAATTCAATTGAATTTCACAATTTTCAATCCAACCCGTGAAAGAAAAACATTTGGTACAATGTAAATTAGATGGAACTAAACAGTCATATTAATAATAAGAAGAAGGTGGACAGTAAAAATCGACATGTTTACAACCCAGTAAAGGATAAAATTAGACAGTATACTGGACAAAATTTGAACTTGACTTGAAAGTTATATACTAATTAATTGCAAGATTATGAAACATTAAATATCAAAGTTAAACTCACCGAGCTGGAGCTAGAACTGCCGGAACGGTGAAGCTGCTCGTGCAGCTGCTGGTGGTGCTGCTGCTCATGTGTCTGGCCACCCATGCCGGCTTCGCCGAGCCCAGTTGTACCATGTAAAGCGTGGTGCTCTTCATATTTATGGGCCATGCCAATTCCGCCGACCCCAATAACATGAACAATACCGGCAGCGGCGGTGGTAGCTCCACCATACGCAAGCCCAGTTTCGCCACCAGTAGTGGTAGCGACGGCAGTAAGATGCACAGGATTGCCGTACTCATCAGTTAGTTGAACAGGTTTCCCATGTTGATCCGCAAGCTGAATTGGATTGCCATGTTTATCACGTATGTCAGCCATTTTTCAAAGAACAAAGCAGAGTTGAAAAGACGAATATACAATTGAGAGACTACTGTTAATTTGGGGCTCTTAAAATAAGGAAAAGCCAAAGACGGTAGAGCAGCAGAATTTTCTGCATTTAATTAGGGTTCTTACACGTATTGTAAAGGCGGCAAGATATACTGCCACGTAAGAATAGTGAACATGATGCTTTTCGGCATTTTTAAGGAACGTAGGGTGACTGTCGCAGTGAACGACTGCAAATAGCATTATTCTTTAAGGATTGGAACGAGGCCAAAGGCATGTTTAACTTACCTGAGTTGAGTGACAATCACTTGGTGAAACCGTCGGTAATCAATTTTTGTTCATCACTTTCACCTACTCTAAAAACTATTTATTATTTTTCATAAGAAATTTTGGTGAACAGTGGAAAACCATATGGATATAATCGTGACTTTGTATCTTGATTAATTCGATCATTTCTTGGTGGTTTCCCATACAAAGTTTTCAAAGATATGTCGTCGAGTAGTCATTTACCATTTCGTCAAAGGAGATTTTCCTCTAATAGTATGAAATTTTCTTGAATACTCTTTTATTGAAATCATTCAACTGCATTTCAAATTGCTCAATATTCCCATCTATTAAGTGATTTTAGGGTGGCATTGGCGATTTGGAGATTTATTAGTAAATTTCCAGGAGGAATATTAGTTAGGAGTAAATCAAGAATAATATTTATTTTGGACATCTTGATTGATATTCCATGATATGTAAAAAATTTGACGATTGATTTGAGCGTCATTCCAATGTAAGTGAGCAAATCGCTTGTCACATCTTAATATGTCAACAAAGCTGTCAATGTAACAGTTTATAAATAAGTAGTACATAAAAGGAAAATGATAAACAAACAGGCTAAAAAATTTGGGGGGGGGGGGGGGGGGACATGAGG